TCGATGCTGCCCGGGATAAGAATAGATTGACGTCGTCGTTCTGTAGTGGCAACAAACGAGATACTAATACAGTCAGAGGGCAGTTCTTCTGTCGGCGAAGACTGCCCGTTCAAAAACCCTCATCTGAATCGTCTACGTCGACCTGACTGATCGTCTTGTCAGGTGTGTCTTCGCCATTGTCTTCATCGTCGGCGACTTCGCCACTCTCTAGTTCATCGACCTTGCGCACCTTCCGCTTCTTCTGTCCAGGCTGTCGTCCCTTGGCACGGTTGTCCGCCTTCTTCTTAAGGCAGTCGCGTGCGATGTGACCAGTCTTGTGGCAGTAGAAGCATTGCTTCTTCTCTCTGTCTTCCTTCATGGCTGGAGCATCAACTCGTCGTATGGAGTTTGTACGAGCGGACTGTCCCTTTGTGCCTTGGCCCTGCCGGTCGTTGCGAGAGCGTCCCTCGAGTTGGCGCAGGTGTCATTCCTCGTAGTTGGAGTGTTCGATTTCCAACACCCGTGCTGCCCACTCATTAACGGTGGTGGGGATGGGGTACGTGAGGCGAACCCGTCGTCGCATGCTTTCTGGGAGACACTCCTTATAAAAGGACAGCTGAGCACTGTCTTCGAGTATACCGGCGAGGGCGCAGAGGCGGAAGAATTCCGCATTGAAGGTGTCTGGTGCGGCAGGTCGATAGTCGAGGTGGTACAGCTTGGAGGCGGCCGTAGCGGCTTCCTCAATGGGTTGGAAGGTCTGTTGTAAGACCGTCTCGAACGCATTCCAGGTGTTCCAGCCATTTTGTCGGGCCTGAGCGATGTATCCGTCCTTCCAGGCGATCACCTTAGGTCCGTCCATGAACGTTAGAGCGGTGACAATGCGGCTCTGGTCGGTGGCGTAGTCAGCTGGACGTGCTTCGAAGAACAGGAAGAGTTCATTGAGGAAGGTGCGTAGATTGTCGCGGTCTCCGTCAAAAACATTGGGTGCGCGGACTTTGGTTCGTCCTGTCACGAACCGCCCTCACGGCGCTATGTTTCCTTTTCGATTCGGACCACTGCCTCGTACGTTTCCTTATTGTTCACTACTCGCTACGGTTTCCCTTTGTCCACACACGGACAATAGCTCCCTTTGTTCCCACGTCCGCTATTGTCCTACACCCCTTGTACTCCGTACCCATGGCGACGCTATTGTTCTCTAGCGCCCATTGTTCGTTCCTTGTATATAGCTGGATCCCTTGCTACCTGGAGACTCTAGTTTCGACCTCTTGTCTCCAGGTAAGCCATCGTGTATTTCGCTCTGTAGATACTTCGCTCAAT